TACTAATAATTTTTAGAATAACTTTATTTTAATATATCATTGTAAAAATTAAAAAAATTTATATTCAATTCAATTCAATTCAATTTAATTGATTTGATTCGATCAAATATTTGATTTGATTTGACAAATATTTAATTTAATTTGATATAATTCAATCAAATTCAAATCAATTCAAATTGATTCAATCAAATATTTGAGTTCAATTCAATTCAATTCAATTCAATACAATATGAAAAAATCAAATCAAATTCAAATTGCTTAAATATTTGATTTGATTCTATTTTAAGGAATCCTAAATATTACTAAATATTTGTTATGATCTTATAAATATGAATTGAAACTTTTACTTATCCTAAATACTTTATTTAATTATTCCCTCAAGACCTTTGATTTCTTGACTATTCTTTAAAAACAGATTCAACAAATACATGATAAAATGATCAAATAAATTATAGCATAATATTATTTCTTAAGCTAAAATATGCAGAATTTTTTTCTATCAAAATATTTTTTTTTACTGTTTCTATCAGTAAAGCTAATTTTAAATAGGATTAAATAAAATTTATTGTAAAAAGTTCTTATCTTTATTTTCTGATTATTTGAAAAATTTATATAATTAAGTTATTAATACTAATTACTCATATCTTACTTATTTAATTATTAATTTACCAAAATATTAGAAAGATTATTAATATTAATGTTACTGTTCAAAACCTATTTTAATATATAATTTAAAAATTTAGAAAAATTTTGAAACCTTTAAAATAACTTTTTTTAGGAAAACCTATTAAAAGTTTAAATAAAGATTATAAATAAATAGTTTAATCTTAATATCCTGAAACTCAAATTTTTTAAAAATAGTTTAAGAAGGTATTTTTAATTAATATAATTATAAATTAAAATTCACATTAACATTCAAAATATAATAAACATCAATTGAAAATTATTAACGTACTTTCCTATATATTCTTTAAATAGCAGTTCTCAAATTACTCTAAAATTAATACTATATCTTATTTACTATTATCTTATACATAATTATAATAATAATATCAAATATTTATATTATTTTATTACTAGTTTCACTAAGATTAGTAAATCATATTTTTTAAACTCATAACTAATCATTTCAATTAAAGAAATTTTAATTATCTCCTATTAGAGTTTACTAGTATTATATTAGAAGAAACTTTGTATTATAAGTCATTATAGCCTAAGAAGGATTTTATATTATAGCCTATACTAATTAGAACCGAATAAATAATTAAAGAAGGTTGATATTATAATTATCGAAAAAATATCAATAGTTTTCATAAAACTCACAAATTTTATATCAGATATTTTTGTAAATCTCAAATAGAATGTTATATCTTTTAAAGTATAAATATCATTTCTGTCAATAATCTTGCATAATTACCTTTTATTATTGATAAGCCTGTCTTTTATATGATATCTTAAAGATTATTTTACCCTTTTGTTTTTAATAAACCCTTAATAGTAATATACTAACTATATTATTTACTAAATATTAGATGAAATATAAATAGAAAATATTACCCTTCAAATATAACAAATTTTATAAAGAAGGTATTCTGAATTCTTAACAGATCTTATCTTAATACTTTTTCAATATAACTAATATTATTAGCTTTAAAGAGATTGCTTAGTAAATCAATAGAATGGTCTGTAAGATGTTGCATATTTCTAATAGAAAGTTCTTGATTTTCTAATCTATCAATTTGATAAACTTTACAGAATAGGATTCAGCTTATTTTGAATCAATATTCAAAATCAAAACTAAACTTTTCACTTTAATACCATTACAACCTAGTGTTTGAATCATGTTTTTATAATTCAGTAAAGTAAATACAACAGAACTATAAAAGGCGATCAAAATTATCCAGCCACTATTCAAAATGAAAAAACTTATATATGTATTATATGGGAAGTTTGCTAGGAAAATAGGGTTCTGAGACATTTTTTAAAAAATTGAAATTTTTGATACATGGGGTGTGAGCTAGGAAAATGACCTTCTGAGATTAATTTACCATTTTGAGTAAATGATAAACAAAGCTTT